GCTTCCTATTGTTCTTAGAATAATAGTTCTCACCCTGACCGGTTTGGCTCTGCGGTTAGACCGTCTGCCCGCAGACCAGAGAGTCCTGGGTTCAGTGTCCGCAAAGGGCACGTTCCTCGGTTGCAGTTTGTCCCCAGCCCCAGTTGGGGTCTTGTGGGTCCCCAGTCAATGTGTCTCTCTCACATTGATGTTTCTCTCTTTCTTTCTCCCTTCCTCCCTCCCACTCTATCTGAAGATAAATGCAAAAATGTCCTCGGGTGAGGATGAAAAAAAATAATAATGAGAATAATAGTTTTCTTGATCCGAGCCCTGCCTTCTCCAGATGTGCTGCCCTAGTAGTCTGTATTTTCCTGCCTCTCTGTATCTTCCCCTCAGCCTCAAGACCCCATGCAGGCTCCTCTCCACTGCCCCCTACTGGAAGCACTGAGCAAGTACTTGGCATTTGGTAGGTATATGTGAATATTCGTGGACTGAATGAATAAATGAATGAGGAAAGAGTTAAAAGGATTTGTCCCTTATAAACGTGAGCCTACACAGATATTGAAGGTCACATACTTCATAAGTAGGAACCTAGAATAAGAGCGTCTCTGAAACGGGGTGGAGTTTTTGACTAGTTCCCATTGTGTACACATTTTTATTTTCTGTACTTCTTTTTCTTTTTTCATAAATTATATTTCATTATTTATTTATTTTTCTTCTTTTTATTCCTTCTTTATATTTCCCTTTCCCTCTATTTGGTACAATTTCAAACCAGAGCCATTTGAATTTCAATTATTATTACACAGAATAGTTCTCAAGGATTTCTAGAAAGTCAACTTTAATGTTGTCATTTGCCTCACCTAAAGTTTTCGCAATTCTGCTAAAGAATATGTGGGTTTTCAAATTAAAAAAATAAGAATAGATTTTGGCAAGTACGTGCTGGTCAAGCTAAAAAGAAGTCTGGCTATTTCGATGCTCTCTGTTCAAAGCTATACCAACAGCACACTCATGTATTTATGCCAGAAGATAGGTAATTTTCCAGCTCACATCATAAGCACATTGACTACAGTATCCATGCTGCTAAAGTTATGTGTAGCTTTTAGAGTTAGAAATAAGCAATCGTATTTGATTCGTCTTCATTTTTATATATTTTTGCATTTAAAGCAATTTAAACTTATAGATTCCATCCCTTTCATGACCCTTAAAATACTATATTAGCTAAATGTTCACACTTGTCCTTTTTAACTTTAAAAGAAATGTCACATGCTAGGTTTCTGTAAATGACCCACATTCAGATGTGAACCAAATATAATAGCTTCTGCCACTCACCAAGCAATGAATTGCTCCAAATGTAGGACACAGGGCAGAGGACGTTGTAAATTACTTTGTTTTATTGGCCATCATCAGAACCTGTGGCAAGATATGTGACCTATTTCTAAAAACAATAATGCCTTAGGCTTTACGGACAGGTAGAATGTAGTTTCTCTTTTAATTACATTTTGAAAAAATGATTTAAAAATTTTCAGGCATATTGAATAGTTATATTGTTAAAAGAAATACAAATTTGCAACCATCGCCATATAATGATGTATATTTCAGTAGACTGTCATAAAATTTTAGCTTTATATTGAAAACAACTCAGATCTACAAAATTGCAAATATAGTACAAAGAGCTTATAATTTTTCTCCTAGATTCACAAATTATTAAATTGTTTTTGTTTGCTTTACTCTTTTTCTTCTGTCTTCCCAAGTGATCCAATATCTTCAATGTTATATAATTCAATCTTGTATTTAAAGACATGTATTCCCCTGGTGTGGCTCAGTGGTTGAGCATTGACCATGTATCATGAGGTCACTGGCTCGGTTCCCAGTCAGGGCACATGCCAAGGTTGTGGATCAAATCCCCAGTGGGGGCATGCAGGAGGCGGCCAGTCATTGTTCTCTCTCATCGATGTTTCTTTCTCTCTCTCCCTCTCCCTTCCTCTCTCTTTAAAATCAGTAAAAGAAAAAAAAATTAAAAAAATAAAATAGAGACACATACTCCCTAAATGTCATAAAATGCATGAAAATACTTGTGTTATTTCTGACCCTTTTGAGAATAACAAACTTTAATAACTAAATATGATCATGAGATGTTTTTACACAATATTTATTGAATCACTCTAATGTTGTAGATACAGAAAGTATAGTCTGTTTCTCCCTTATCTATGTTTACTGGTGTCCAATTTATTCATGAAATTGGAACTTTTTACAATATTTGTCTTTATATACATTTTCCTAACATTTAATTGGACTCCTTAACTTTCTAAGAAAACCAGAAATAATGAAAATTCAATAGATATGCACCAACTTTGATCACTGCGTATTTAAAAAGATAAAATAATTCACTTTTAAATAAATGTTATATTGTTTGACTAATTATATAATCTAATGAATTACAAAATTATCAACATTTAATTAATTTAAAATTTTTTTTGCATATACAAGTATAGGCTATTTTCTCCTTATCTGTGTAAACTGGTTCTTTTGAGCTGAAAAATGTGCTAAAAATTAATGACGTTTGTCAAGTTGAGTCATTAACAACTCATCATGAAGCCTTTCACTGGAAAATGCTGCTAAAAATGCAAAAACAAAATTTTAAGCCAAAACTAAAATACAATTAATCTTTGTACAGCTTTCCATATTCCAATGTGCTATTTTGTTCTCTGTTAAAACATTTGTTTACCATCCTGTGGATCCCAGTTTGGATGTTACAATTATATTGTCACACAGAAGGAAGGAGATATAAAGAAGAGAAAGACATTTTCTGGGCAAAAGAAACAGAAGCTAAAGAAACAGGACTCTGATTCCTAATTAATTCAAAGTTAATTGCATTGTTGATAATCTTGCACTTAAAATCTTCATATAGAAAATGTTTATGGCAGCAAATTGACAGTAATTTAACTACATTAAATCTTATCACCAGCAAAAGAAAAAGATGAATGTTACATTAAACAAGCTTAAGAGAATGGTAAAGACTAGTTTTTGTTTAACAATGCAACTAGCAAATCATTCAAATGGCCGACCTAGACTCTCAAAGCACAGTAAGTGTAGTAGTTGCATTTCAAGATGACACCAAGCCAGATGGCCTATCTTGGGCCATCAGTGAAGCTGCTGGGTGGTAGTTTTGCTTTAATTCTACTCTGTGATGAATGAAAAACAGTTGTGAAAAGAAAAGACACATAGATCTTATTTGGCAGGTAGAATAAAAAAAATCTATTTTACTATTTTGGAAAGAATCAAGATAGAGGTCATTAAAGGAAGATATGTGTTGTATCAGTTATTTTCACTGACGATTGAGATGATGCATGAAATAAACTTTGAAGTTAGCTCTGAGTTTAAATTCTGTGTCTGTAACTTATAAACAGTGAGACTAACTTTTTGATTTTAGTGTATTAATATGTAAAAGACAGAATTAATGCAACAGATGTGAAATTGATGGTCATAATGGGAAATCAATAAATTTTAGTTTTAAGTATCTAGTCTATTTAAAGAAAAATGTATTAATTCTGATCATTGAAATAAAACACAATTTTTTACTTTGTGTGAAAAGACAGTTCCACATGATGTTTAACTATCATGATAGTCCCATTTATATGTTGGGGATTTTGTAAGAATTCTCATATTGGTAGTTTATAGACACTGTGATGCATTAGGGTTCTTGATCTGACCTACCGAGTATTTAGTGGCACAATTCTGTGCTTCTTCAACAAGTTCCAGGTGCACGTGGTGAGCCAAGTATACTCTAGGTCAGGAGGATGAATATAATATGTCTCAAGAGTTTCAAGTTTACTCAAATTAAAAAAACACACACATTATATTAAAACAACTATATGGATAGACAAGGAATAGAATATAATTTCTCTTCTCTGAAATTAAGGGTATTTAATGCAAAAGTTTTATAAGCATTGGCCTGATTACTGTTTATAATGTTTTTCAGTATGATACTCTGTTGTCACTTAATTATTGTTGCAAGAAAAGCAGTACTTTACTAAATTAATATTTGGAGTTTGTTTGGAAAGTGGAAAAAGATTAAATAAGCAGTTCATCAGGTTAGATGCTTTCTCAAACTAGTCTATTTATTATTCATGTTGGAAAACAACCAACCAAGCAAAACCTGTGTGCTGACTGCGCTGGTCCAGTGGGATTTGTATTACAGGGCACTAACACCAAGTCGTTGAGAAAGAATAAATACACATTTAAACTCCTTTTGACAAATTCCTCACATTTGAACTAATCTGGATAGTCATAATACAAATTAATGGCTAAATATTTGTCAGTTTTCTACAGTCTATTTTAGATATCAAAAATCAGAAATAGTAGGTTTATTGGAGATAACTGTAAAAACCCAGATTGTTGTTGTTGGATTATAATATTTAGTGGAGAAAATTATTAAATAATTTTAGGAATCTAAGTCAAATAATTTCTAGAAAAGAAATGGAAATAATGAACTTGGAAAGGAAATGAAATGGAAATAAATAGAAATTGATAAAAATTATAATTTTAAAAAATCAAGTCAATTTTTATTTATTGACTTGAAAAGATGTCAGAAAATATTATTCGAAAAGGAAACAGGTTATGAGTCAGCATGTGAAAATGCATATTGATATGCTATTATAACTCTCTCTCTATATGTTTGCAAAGAAAGATGTCTGGAAGGATGTTCAACAAAATGTTAACAATGATTATATTTGGTGATGGGATTTTGAGTGGCTTATACTTTTTTATTTAATTTATTGGGGTAACATTGGTAAATAAAACCATACAGGTTTCAAGTGTACAACTCACTAAAATATCATCTGTACAATGCATCGTGTGCTCACCACCCAAAATCAAGTCCCTTTCCATCCCTATCTATCCCTTCTTTACCCACTTCTACCTCCCCCCACTGCCCCCCATAAAAATCATAAATTATTTACATTTTTGGAGACTAAAGTAAACAATATTGAGAAAAAAAAGGTAACAGATTATTTTGTCCTTAGATTGTGCAATGATTCTTGGATACTGGATGCATTTCAGCGCATCCACAGTGAAGAAACCAAGTTTTTCATGCCATATGATTTGGAGATTTCCAATCAGGAGCTAAGTTATATAGTGAAAAAGTCTGAGCAATGGAGAGGAATTCATGGTGAAAGAAGGAAGGTGAGTTGGTTTGAAATATATTTGTTTTTTGACTGAATAAAATAAACTCATCTTGTTGGCATATCCCTCTTCCTTCTTAGACTCAGATCTTCTTATAGAACAGATGATTGGCTTCTCTATCGATGTGTCTTCAATCTCTAACAGGAACTGAAGAATGTGACACATTTTTTTCTGTCTATTTGTTCAATACATGAAAGAATGCATGCATAAATGTCTGAAGAATTGAACATAGTTTGCCTATGCAATGAACATATAATCTATCGCATCCTGTTCTCACGTGATAGAAACCTAAACAGTAGCTTTTTACAAATTCCACATGGTTTTACTATTAATATACTCAATATGTTTTGAATTATGTTAATTTAATAGTTAATGTAACATTATAGCAGCCATTTGCAAGATCCCAGTCCCTGACTTGAAGTAAAACAAATTTCACTTTACCACATATTTATTCTGGTTTCTTTTTGTTCAAAAACTTCTTGACTAACAGCATAATCTTTAAAAGGCCAAACTTGTCAAAATTATCTTTAAAATTAAGATAATTATCTCTCTAGGATCATTACAAAGTGCCTGGGGTAGGTAGAGTACATTTTATTTTATTATTAAGTTTCACAACATGGAAGTTTAGCAATTTGGAAGCAATCCAAAATTGAGTACCAAAATAAATTGAGTTGAACAACAGTACCTAACAAGAGAATACAGAGGAAGATAGAAAATTATTTTAGTATGTATTATTTTAGTTAGGGGAGGAGTGTGATGGGGGTGGGGAGGAGGGGGGGGAGGGAGAAAGAGAGGGGGTCAAGGAGGAATGGGAGAACAAAACCAATGCCTAGGTACTAGAAGGAAAATTAAAGGGGATTATACAATTCCTTAGTTGTTTAAAATTAATATCTATTCTCAGTTTTTGTAAAATCACTTAGCTGATCCATGAAGGACAAGAATAGGACTTAGGAAGAGACCTTAAACCTTGAATGTTCATAATTCTGACTATGTGTACACATTCAAATGAGTCACAGAAAAGAGAGTTTGATTAAATGTAATTAAAGTAAATTTATTCAAAGGCATTTGTATCTTAAGTAAAATATTTTGGCTTAGATTCTGTTGGGCCATTAACAGAAATTAATATATCTAGATAAATCTCTGCTGTCTTCATCGTGTATTGACTTGGCATCAGTCAGTGATGAGACTTTAGGAATGTTTATGCAAATCATTTGAAAAGCTCTAGAGCACCTATGATTTCTTGTTGTTGGAGTGATGTTGATATGCACACAGAAACATTCTCAAACTGAACTTGATAGACACACATGTTGCATTTGTTTGTTGTGTCTCTTCACGTCCTGGCATTTATACCATGAATGCTTCCTCTTCCTTATGATTAATTTTTTATGTTATTCTTAAACTGTTTTATGTTTGCTTGTTTTTTTCATAGGTATTAATTCAGTTATCAAAAATCACTTTAATATAACTCAGGAACAGCCAGATGGAATATTTTTATATTATATCAGTCCAATATTATATCACTTTAATATTACATCAGTTTCATGTGTACATAAATTTTGCTTGTTTAGTTTGTTTCAATAAGGAAGCAAGGTAGCCTTGTTGAATAATTGATGTACTAATTTCAAGATATAATGCCAGTTTAATTGAGAACAATTATCTGTAATCTAAAGTGCTAAATTAAGAGTGGAATAGATATTTTAATATAAAAGTATTTCAAGTAAAGCGTGTAGAATTCTCTCACTTTAAAATTTTGATCTAAATCTTTGCCACAGTGCTATTAAGCATGTGCTTCTCATTTTTATGCTTTCGATTAAAAATTGCCACATAAATGGATACTTTATAACATGCTTAATTTCCTTTTATTAAATTGATAAATGCAAAAGTATAGAACACATTTACAGTATGATGAGAATTTAGGATTATTGCATTTTATAATTTTTATATTGTTCATATATATACTTTGTCATTTGTGCAAAGACAGACATGATAATTTCAAAGTATTTTAGCCTTTTTTTTTTTTGAGAAGGAAAAGGTCACTTTCAGTAGTCAGAAAAGACGCCATTCTATTAAACTAATTTGCCTACATGCAAATTTTGTCATTTTACCTCATTAACTATTTATCATGGAGTAAAATATATATATATTCATGAAGGGGCACCTCACAGCCTGATGGAGCTGGAACTAATATTTTGCAACTCTAATGATTTTTTGCATCTTTAATTAGATAGCATAAGGTTGATATGATTAGGTCAGGATGTAGTGTTTTTCATTAAAATACATTTTAGAAGCTGTATTCATAATCTGTCCTTGCAATTAAATAATGAGCCCATGAATTTAATATTATCGACCCAATTATTATCCCATGCAAATGTATACTTTTAATAAATTTGTGCCGTAGGACCTTCATTAGCAACAGAAGAAATGATATTTCTAGGTACATAGATTGAATGGGTATGGTTAAACTTATATAATAGTTTTAAACGTACCAGGATGCAAAGCTTCAATACTTGGGAATTTAAATGTGCCTTACTATTTGTTGAAGACTAATTTACATTGTAATTATTTTCTTAAAGAAACTACCACTTTAAAATGGGCGATTGGAGCTCACAGAAATAGCAGGATGTTAAGCAGAGATGGAGGTCTAAAGAAAGTTGTGCTTCACGGGACAATGGAGGATATGCTTCGAGATCCATTCCAGCAGTATAATTGGAAAATATAAAAACTAAAAAGACTAGTTCTCCAGGATCTATATTACCTGAGAACTGCCATGCACAATGAATGAAGACTATTTGTGTTGTATGGTAGAGTTTTTATTAATAGATGCTTGTACAATGGAAGTATGTAAGGTACTCAGAGAGGGAGCTGCCCGCCTCTATCATGAATGTGTACAGGGAAACACATGCACTGAAACACACCCTGTTCCCTCAACGTGGCATAAGAGTCGCTGTTTATCTACCACCTTATCTATCACTTGGATAGTGATCACAATTATTTGCATTCTTCATTTCATTTTTTATGAATTTTGGTTGTGAAAGTTATATACAATTTACAATTTTTAATAAAAGGAACTAATTAAAGAAGCTGAGCCTACATTTAGTACTGAATTGTATAGAGAGGTAAAACTCTAAGCCTTGCTATTGACACAGCAAACTGGACAGTGGGTCACGGTATGACTACCGTGTTTTCCTGTAGGTATTACTCATGTCTACTTGGGGAATACAGTCAGGGAGGAGGGAAAGCTTTGATGGGGGTCATGGATGGCAAGGTGATAGCAAACATAGAATGGAAGCATGTGGATGAGGATTTGAGTGGAGACACTTGATAGACTTTTCCATACATAAGGAGACAGTGGATAGAAGTAGAGTGACAGGAAATACCAAGATGTGTTTGAAAACTGAGCCATTTGTTTTGGCCAGAAAAATGGACAGAGGGTGGATGAAAGGGAGAGATCAGCCTGGAGAGGTTGATTGGAAACCGGCAATGTGCACAATTGGTGAGGACTAGATATATATTCATCATAGAAAATGGGAAGCCGTTGAAATTTTAATGAAAAGAAGTAACTCATTTAGTTAAGAATTTGGGTTGTCTTTGAATTGGACTCTGTAAATAGCTTATGTTAAAGCTCTAATGAATACTTTTGCCTCTTGGGAAGTAAATAGTTTAATGCACTCTGTCTAATACATAGTTCAGTTTTCCACCATTGAGAGTTGTTTATTCAGGGAAGTTCTAAGTTATCCACTACATCTTCTAACTACCCTATTCAATTTGATCCCACAATCACATATAGATGGTGTTTTATATGTCACCAAGTAAACATTTTCCTGACTTGCAGCAACAGGATAGGCCCATGGTTTTGAGCATTTTATAAGCTTGATGGGGACTTGAAAGTAGGTGAAGATAAATAAATTGGACTTAGCCAAATTTGAAATTAGGAATGGAATGTGGGAGGAAATGGAAACCAGGAGTCAAACTGAATCCCAAATGGTCAATGACAGAGTAGTGACTGCAACAGGAAGAATGCGTGAATCTTGTTGGTATGAAGCAGACAGACCGCTTTGATGATAGGAGGTGGGAAGCTGGGGCATAACTCAGTTAGAGCCAGGGAGCATTCTCATCCCACAACAAGAGAGCAAAAGGTGGTCCCTCAAACCATCTCCATGTAACACTTCTGGTCCCCTGACTGCAACTCCAGTCAACTTTCATACTTTACCTGTGGAGGCTGCCACTTCCAAACTGACTGAAAGGCTTTGGACACTAGATGTCGGGCACTGGATTCAGTTTTCGCCAATAAGAAATAAACATCATAAGCAGCAATGCAGGAGATACATAAACCGTTCTTTGATGGGAAGTCAGTACATTGGATGCTAAAAACATAACTTTGTTGCATTGAAGAAGAGTCTTAATATTTTTCAGTAAAGAATGTAGGGACCCAGGTGAATACAGCCAAAAAGTATGCCCAAATTATCAGAAGTAAGTAGGTTTCTGCTCAGTAATCAAATACATATTCTGAACTCCATATCCAGTGTTATTTTCTTCCTGGGTTGAGCAAATTCACAATTTTACAAAAGCATGAAGACAGTTATCTTTAAAAGTTTTTATATAAATAATATGGACTGTATGTAGAACTACTAATATGATATCAATTCCAATTCTTGAACAATGAAGATTAATATTAATCCAACTAATTTGAAAATATAAATCATAGCTATTATATATACATATGTGTGTGTGTGTGTATACTATATATATATATAGTATATATATACACATTATTTAAAAAAGGCAACTGACATTTCCTTTTTGGTTAGATGTTTTGAATTATGATAAGCAAGGAGCAGGGGATAAGGCTCTCTGTCGGTGTGGTGGTTTGGGTTAATTAATACACATTTCTTCCTTGACCTGTTTTTTTTTTTTTTTATCTCTAAACTTCTGGGATGTTTGTTTATAACTTACCCAATATATTCTTAAAATTTCCATAGGTCATTGGTCATGGAGAAATT